AAATTTTTCCTAATATCCAGCCTGAACCTCCCCTGGCGCAACTTGAGGCCATTTCCTCTTGTCCTGTCGCCTGTGACTTGAGAGAAGAGACCGACCCCCATCTCTCTACACCCTCCTTTCAGGGAGTTGGAGAGAGCAATAAGGTCTCCCCTCAGCCTCCTCTTCTCCAGGCTGAATAACCCCAGCTCCCTCAGCCTCTCCTCATAAGACTTGTGCTCCAGACCCCTCACCAGCTTTGTCGCCCTTCTCTGGACCCGTTATGATGAATTAAAACTATTAATCTGAACGGGCTTGTTTTATCAGGCTCTTGCCACTGCTTTGTTACTCCCGGTTCTCTTGGTCGCTCGCTCAGAGTCAGTGGAGTTGCTGTTAATGTACACGCTCTGAAATGAAGGAAGCTTGGAAACGAGTATGTGTAACAGTTCATGGTTTGCCTCTGCTTCTGTGAACTGCTGAGAGGTGAATTACAGGGGTGGCCTTTGGAGCAGCAGCAGCTATCCTGAAATTTGGGGTTGCCTGAAGAAGTGTGAGAGTGCTTCTGGGCCATTTGCAATGGAACATGCCATTATCTGGCTACCCTCCTCTTCCAAACCTGGTGCTTCAGAAGCTACAGGTTCTGGGGCTGCAATCAGCTGAATTGGAATTTGTGCAGTGGTGAAAGAGTTGATGGCCCCATGTATCCAGCCTGCTCCTCTACGAGGAGCATGGGATCTGCTGGATCAAGCACTGGCTGACTGGAAGGTCCCAAAGAGTGGTGCTCAATGGAATCAAATCCAGCTGGCGGCCGGTCACTAGTGGTGTGCCTCAGGGCTCAGTGCTAGGACCATTTCTCTTTAATGTCTTTATTGATGATCTCAATAAGGACATAGGGTGTATCATCAGCACGTTCACAGATGACATCAAGTTAAGCAGGAGTGTTGATTCCCAGGAGGATAGGGAAGCCCTACAGAGGGACCTAGATAGATTGGATCACTGGGCCAACATCAATGGTATGAGTTTCAACAAGGGCAAGTGCCAGGTCCTGCACTTGGGCCACGACAACCCCCTGCAGCGCTACAGGCTGGGGGAAGTGTGGCTGGAGCTGCCTGGAGGAAAGAGACCTGGGGGTTCTAGTTGACAAACGGCTGAATATGAGCCGGCGTGTGCCCAGGGGGGCAAGAAAGCCAATGGCATCCTGGCTTGTATCAAAAATAGTGTGACCAGCAGAAGTAGGGAGGTGATTGTGCCCCTGTACTCAGCACTGGTGAGGCCACACCTCGAGTGTTGTGTCCAGTTTTGGGCACCTCAATCCAAGAGAGATCTGGAGGTGCTGGAGCGAGTGCAGAGGAGGGCAACGGAGCTGGTGAGGGGGCTGGAAAACAAATCGTGTGAGGAGCGGCTGAGGGAGTTGGGGCTGTTTAGTTTGAGGAAGAGGAGGCTGAGGGGAGACCTCATCACTCTCTACAACTTCGTGAAAGGACACTGTAGAGAGGTTGGTGCTGGTCTCTTCTCACAGGTAATTAGTGACAGAACGAGAGGGAACGGCTTCAAGCTCCAACAGGGGAGGTTTAGATTGAACATTAGGAAGGAATTTTTCACCGAAAGAGTGGTCGGGCATTGGAACAGGCTGCCCAGGGAGGGGGTGGAGTCACCATCCCTGGCTGTGTTTAAGGGATGTTTAGATGCAGTGCTGAGGGACATGGTGTAGGGGAGGACTTTGTAGAGTAGGGGAGATGGTTGGACTCGATGATCCCAAGGGTCTCTTCCAACCTCAATGATTCTATGATTCTACGACAGATCATTGTCCCCAGAGCACAGCACGTGTCTGGATCTTAGTTCTTCTTCCCCTTTGGAAGCAAGCACTGTTGCTGAAGTAACTTAGGAAGGCAGACTTGGGCTGGTGAGTGAGGCTGAGGTGTCCAGGGACCAGAAACACATCTTGGTTTGCTACAGCCATAGAAATTTCTTTAAAATCCCATAGCAAAATCTGATAGACATCATTGGCCAGACCTACACTCTGAACAAGTAGAAACACAAGGTGTGATGCTGAAAGGCAAACTACTGGAAGAAATTCAAAATGGTAAGATCATCTCCAAGTGAAGGAAGAAGCCCCTCCTGGAAATCCACACCACGTAAGAGAAGCTGAGGGTGGCAGAGCAGAACCTGTCCACAGGCTGGCTCTTCTTTTCTCTGTTTTCTGTTCCTATGGGCTCCCTCTCCCAATAGAACAAGTTTAACTGCTCTCATAATTTTCAATTTATTAGAACATTAGTAGTACATGAACTAGTTGATGCAATTAAGCAACAGCTAAATTCAAGTTTAAAAGCAATTTTGGGAGATGCACATAACGCTGGCTGTATAACAGTGGTACAAAAATGGTGCAATTTCACATGCTAATGGAATTTCAGTTAAACATACCAAAGTGTGTGCTTTTTTTTCCCCTCCCAGATAAACATTAGGAATGCTGAGAAGGTTAGCACGATAAATAAAGCGTTTGCTGAAATTCAGAAAGAAGTCCAGCAGCTGTCCAAAGGCACTGCAGCACAGCCTCAGAAGAGTCATCAGGTAATTTCCCTTCGTAACAATCCGAGGAGGTAAATAAAAGGAAAATGCATGTTCAGAGCATTATATTCTGGCTCTGAGCCTGCAGGCAATCCGTGCAGTTGCTTTAAAGCTATGAACCCAGCTTTATTCATTTCAGTCGTGTAGTAATGCTGAAATCTGCTCAGCATATTAAAGCTATAATATATAGCTCTCTCTATATATATAGTATCACCAAGTTTGCGGACGATACCAAGCTGTGTGGTGTTGTCAATACACCAGAGGGACGGGATGTCATCCAAAAGGACCTGGACAGGCTGGAGAGGTGGGCCCAGGTGAACCTCATGAGGTTCAACAAGAGCAAATGCAAGGTTCTGCACCTGGGCCGGAACAATCCTCCCCATCAGTACAGACTGGGGGGTGAGGTATTGGAAAGCAGCCCTGAGGAAAGGGACTTGGGGGTGCTGGTGGAGGAGAAGCTGGACATGAGCAGGCAGTGGGCAGCTGCAGCCCAGAAGGCCAATCCCATCCTGGGCTGCATCAAAAGATGCGTTGCCAGCAGGTCCAGAGAGGGGATTCTGCCACTTTACTCTGCTCTGGTGAGACCTCACCTGGAGTATTGTGTGCAGGTCTGGAGCCCTCAATATAAGAAGGACATGGACCTGATGGAGAGGGTCCAGAGGAGGGCCACAAGGATGATCAGGGGGATGGAGCACCTCTGCTACGAGGACAGGCTGAGGGAGCTGGGGTTGTTCAGCCTGGAGAAGAGGAGGCTCCGGGGAGACCTAATAGCAGCCTTCCAGTACCTGAAGGGTCCTACAGGAAGGCTGGGGAGAACCTGTTTAGAAAGGCCTGCAGTGACAGGACGAGGGGCAATGGCTTCAAGCTGGAGGGGAACAGATTTAGACTGGAGATGAGGAGAGGGTTCTTCACTGTGAGGGTGGTGGAGCACTGGAACAGGTTGCCCAGGGAGGTGGTTGAGGCCCCTTCCCTGGAGATATTCAAGGAGAGGCTCGACGAGGCCCTGGGCAACCTGGTCTAGTTGGGGGTGTCCCTGCTGACTGCGGGGGGGTCGGACTAGATGAGCTTTGGAGGTCCCTTCCGGCCTGGGCAATTCTATGAGTCTATGATTCTATTCTATATAACTACTGAAGTCATGAGAGAAGAGGGTGGACAACCCAATCCAGAGCATCCTTCCAAAACATATTTTTAAATTATGTTCTAGCTGGTCTTTAATTGATTTTTTTTTTGAAAGTTAATTCCAGCTCCAGACACTTGGTTTGAGACTTGCGCGCAAGGTGAATATACAGAAAGTCAAGCTGAACCTTGCTGTTCCCTACCCGAAGCACCCCATAGTGCTTTGAACCAAACAGCTCCCTCTCTTTCTGTTCCTGAATCCTAAAACAACTCCATATTCCCTCATCAGAAGTACCAACAACTGAAACAGCAGTTTCTGTACTCGAGCTTTTGCCTGGAGCACTTCAGAGTTCAGGACAGCGTTTCACTTGTCTTCCTTTGCCTACTTTACTAAACAGGGCTACATGCAGTTTTGAGCAAGACAATTTAATTGCAGACAAGCTCCTCTGTAAAACTGTACATAAATCCATCCTGGCTGTTGGGGGAAGCAGAGGGAGGTGGGAGAAGTGGACCTGGGGTTGTTCAGCCTGGAGAAGAGAAGGCTCCAGGGAGACCTTATAGCGGCCTTTCAATACCTGAAGGGTGCCTATAGAAGAGCTGGAGAAGGACTCTTTGCCAGGAGGTGTAGCGACAGGACAAGGGGAAACGGTTTTAAATTGGAAGAAAAAAGATTCAGATTAGGTATCAGGAAGAAATTTTTTGCTGTGAGGGTGGTGAGACACTGGAAGAGGTTGCCCAGAGAAGCTGTGGCTGCCCCATCCCTGGAGGGGTTCAAGGCCAGGCTGGATGGGGCTTGGAGCAACCTGGGCTGGTGGGAGGTGTCCCTGCCCAGGGCAGGGGGTTGGAACTGGATGATCTTTGAGGTTCCTTCCAACCCAAACCATTCTATGGTTCTGAGTTGAGCTTTATTTACTGTGCCTGGGGTGCTGGAGTTTCTCTGGGGCTGGGAGCAACAGAACAAGAGGCTGAGGGGAAAATAAAACATTATGTGATGTTACTGGCATGATGCTTTGTCTTTCTTCTGCAGCATAAAGGTTACTCATCTATCAAAGTTTAGTGAATCCTGTAACCCCCCAAATTATCAAACTGTGACTGCAAAATTAGCCTAAATTAAATATATAACGACAAACTAACCTTTGTTCATTGTTGGGGTTTTTTTTTCAAGCAGAGTAAAAAGATCCTGCTGCCTACTTAAAACTGTAACTCCTTTTTTCTTCAGGTTTCCACCCATCTGCAAGAGGAACCAGCAAACGTGGATGCTGCCACAAGCCTGCTAGCTCAGTTGTAACCCATAATGGACAATAAAAGGACTGCAAGAAATGGAGATCAAAACCACTGATGGCTTTGTTTGTACAATTTTATTAAAAAAATCTTGTTAATATACAAGTATTGGCACACTTTAATACAAACTACAAACAGACCTTTCCTATCACCTAGGAAAGTGGAATGTCAGAAGTCAGTGTGAGAAACTTAAAGTGCTAAAACAGAAGGCACTTCACAAAATTGGTTCACTGAAACAATTTAGAGTAACTTGAGTTGATATCCTTCACTTTTCAGCTTGGCAGTGAAAGCTTCAAAATTGATTAAAAGGTTAAAAAAAAATAGAAAGCTTCTTGGCAGTAAAGCTTCAAAGAAAACGCTGTTAACTGTGAGCAAGAAGCCTAATCATTTTTTTTTAAAAATGATGAAGAGGCTATAAAGCATTTTTACTTTTCTTACTAAAGAAAACTCCAAATAGATCACACAGAGGATAATCAGGTGAAAAATCGTGCCAGAATTTTTGATAAAAGCCCTTTTTTTTTCTGGTTGTTGAATTTGTTTTGTGAAGTAAAGGAAGCAAAAGGAAATACACTCCCAGAGTCAGTGAACTAAGAAGTTATACATTCATTATTCAAATACTTAGGTTATGAAGAAGTCTAGAATGTTAGAGGTAGATAAGTAGTCCGGTTGACACAATTTCTAATAATTTAGTATCTGCACATCAAAGAGATCACAGACTCCTTCATTATCATCCAGGTTAAAGTTGTAGTCATCTCCGGGAGTAGGAGAGAGTCGTAAGAGAGGAAAAACTGTAAAGCAGGAATAGTTTAGTTTCAATTAAAACACTTCTGGAATATCAGCCCTATCTCATAACGTTTGTCATCACAAGCATCAGGGTTAGTCTTAATAATTAAAACAGTCTTGATAATCTGACAAGCATGCAAGAATACACACTGTGAATACCCTTCAAACTAAGGCAGTGAGTGACATGGCTACATTTGAGGTGAATTTGCTGGAATGGAGTGATAGCTGGGGAATAGCTACTTAATTTCTCCTTCTGCAGCGGAGGAGCTCCTGAGCAGCTTTTGAAACTTTCATCAGAAAGCCATTGTTTATATTTGTATTCCTTTGTCATCACAGAATCTTCTAGGTTGGAAGGGACCTTAAAGATCATCTTGTCCAACCGTCAACCTAACTGACAAAAACAGACACCCACACAACAAACAAGGAGCATCATCACTAAACCATACCTCCCAGCACTACATCAACCCGGCTTTTGAACACCTCCAGGGATGGTGCCTCAACCACCTCCCTGGGCAGCCCATTCCAATGGCTGAGAACCCTTTTGGTGAAAAAATTTTTCCTAATATCCAGCCTGAACCTCCCCTGGCACAACTTGAGGCCATTTCCTCTTGTCCTGTCGCCTGTGACTTGAGAAAAGAGACCGACCCCCACCTCTCTGCACCCTCCTTTCAGGGAGTTGTAGAGAGCAATAAGGTCTCCCCTCAGCCTCCTCTTCTCCAGGCTGAACACCCCCAGCTCCCTCAGCCTCTCCTCATAAGACTTGTGCTCCAGACCCCTCACCAGCTTTGTTGCCCTTCTCTGGACCCGCTCCAGCACCTCAATGTCTTTTTTATGGTAGGGGGCCCAAAACTGGACACAGCCCTCGAGGTGCGGCCTCACCAGTGCCTTGTTACAGTCTTGTTACTGTCTTGTTACAGTATTGCAGAGATCAGCCTTCAAATATTTATCATTTTAAGTGAGGAAGTTACCAGTTATCCCTATTTTACGGCTGAAGGAGGCTAGCAGTTCCTCTGTCACCGCATTCCAAGCCATCCTTTGGGGAGGCGACACAAGAAGCCTCAGCCCTCAGGCTGTGCTTCAGGAGCAGTGACCCAGTGCAGGTGAGCTGGGCCTGCTGTACCTGCTCTAAAAGCAGAAACCATTGCCATTTTAGCCATTTTACCACAGCTGGCCAGGTATCAGTCTGCATGCAGGCTGCGAAATATATTCTGAAGGGTTTACTCAAAGGAGTAAACCTTTCCTGGAGGTATTTAAGAAACGTGTAGACATGGTTCTTCAGGGCACGCTCTAGTGCCCAAGATTACTGGTTTATGGTGGGGTGCTGTGTGGGTGGGTGATGGTTTTTGGTTTGGTGGTTGTTGTTGTTGTGTGTTTAGGTGGTGGGTGGTGGTTTGTGTTTTTTGTGGTTTTTTTGTGGTTGGACTCGATGATCTCTGAGGTCCCTTCCAACCACTATGATTCTGTGATTCTGTGAAAGCTCCTGCAGGAAGCCTGAGGCAGAATTAAACCAGATATATATATTTTTTTAAGGCAGCACTCTAGTCATCAGCCTTTTCTCTGTTCCTGAATAAAGGGCTGGTGGGTTACTCATGCATGTAAGTGCTTGCTGGATTAAGGCTTTCGTATTTTGATTGTTAAATGAAAACTGTTGCAAGGAATGGAAAGGGGAGCAAAGACAAGAAGGACAAAGATAGAGGAGGCAGCACAGGGTAAAGAAGTAGTTTCATACTGACTCTTGGCAGCAGTTAACAGTTCACACAAAACCCATGCTGCTACTTGTGATTGTTGGAAAAGTAAAGAGGCTAAATACTTACCGTCAGAAGACATGAGCTCATCAATGATATCCCCACTGATGTTTCCTGTGAAAGACAGGAGTGTGTGTTTGTGGAAGTCAACACACACTCTCCACATCAAAACACAGAATTGCACAGTACAGCGTGGCTGGGGCGGTGTCGGAGCTACGGCGACACCGTGCCGTGGATACACAAAGGACACTCATCTTTGCATCCCTCCGTTTCCCCCAATATATTTCTCCCTTACAACCCTGAAGCCATGTACAGTACGGAGCTTATTTGGTGGCCAAGAAAGGTATTTTGTTCAAAATGAGTTTGCTACTCAGAGCTGGTTCGGTGGCTTCGCTACGAGATGAGCAAAGGCTGGTACCTGAAGGAGGTAGTACCTGAAGGGGCTCCAGGAGAGATGGGGAGGGACTCTTACCAGGGAGTGGAGCTATAGGATGAGGGGTAATGGTTTTAAACTGAAAGAGGGGAGATTTAGATGAGATACCAGAAAGAAATTCTTCACTGTGAGGGTGGTGAGACACTGGAACAGGTTGCCCAGAGAAGCTGTGGCTGCCCCATCCCTGGAGGGGTTCAAGGCCAGGCTGGATGGGGCTTGGAGCAACCTGGTCTGGTAGGAGGTGTCCCTGCCCATGGCAGGGGGGCTGGAACTCGATGATCTTCAAGGTCCCTTCCAACTCTGACCATTCTATGATTCTGTGATTTCCTCTGTGGTGAAAGTGCTCCTCTTCCCCTCCGTGTAACTCATGGGTAGCTTGGTCACAAAGAAGGGCTCAGGAAACTAATGAAACCATTTCACAGAATCACAGAATCTTCTAGGTTGGAAGGGACCTTAAAGACCATCTTGTCCAACCGCCAACCTCACTGACAAAAATAGACACCCACACAACAAACAAGGAGCATCATCACTAAACCAGACCTCCCAGCACTACATCAACCCGTCTTTTGAACACCTCCAGGGATGGTGCCTCAACCCCCTCCCTGGGCAGCCCATTCCAAGGGCTGAGAACCCTTTCAGTGAAAAAATTTTTCCTAATATCCAGCCTGAACCTCCCCTGGCGCAACTTGAGGCCATTTGCTCTAGTCCTTTCGCCTGTGACTTGAGAAAAGAGACCGACCCCCACCTCTCTACACCCTCCTTTCAGAGAGTTGGAGAGAGCAATAAGGTCTCCCCTTTCAACAGTAACCACTTCTTCCTACCTGTGGGCTCCTCCATCTTGGCTCCGTCGAATGAGTTGGGCTTGAGGATAGAGTTGACATCCAGGGGCAGCAGGCCCTGGTAGTCAGTTGAGCTGGCTGTTCCGTGGGGGACATCCCCCGGGAGGCTGGGGTACAGCTCCGACCCCGCAAGGCTGGAGTAAGGAGCTGCTGGGGTCCTGCTCTCCTGCTGCTCGCTGCCCTCTACGAGGAGAGAAAGGCAGGGTATAAATTCTGTTACAGAAAAAGGGAAGGCAAAAGGCCTGCACTCGGCTGTGTCCTGCGAGGAGAACACGGCCAGTGTCTGGGATGAGGTGAGAAGAGTCTCCCTCTTCCAAAGTCACCGGCACAGTTTATTCAGGACCCCTCAGAAACGCAGTTTGCAACACCGGCAGCATTTTCTTAAGTCTTTTCGTATTACCCTACTATTATTATGGAAAAAAACCCAATACCTGATATTCAGGCAGTCCCTCACTGTGACTGTGTGGAAGGAGGTAAGTGACCTCGTGGCACAAGATGTGGAACTGGTTCCTGTCTCATTAAAAGGAACAGTTCCAATCATACACTCCTTCAGAGGGAGGCAATTCCCTTCCATACTGCTTTCTGGAGAAGCACCTCAGAATAATTAACAGGATCACATCCAACACCTGCTCGGTATGAGATGATGAACTGAAAGGGAAGAATCTGTTCCACCAGACAGACAGAACAGGAGGAGGCTTTTCTGCAACCTCCCGAGAGCTGTCAGCAAGCCCTTGGGGTAGTTTCTTAACAGAGAGATGCTACGCTAGAGGAACGATGAAGAATTTCTAAATCTACCACTTTTTCACTGACTGACTCTGGAGACCATCTAGTCCAACCCCCTGCCAGAGCAGGTCCACCCAGAGCAGGTTGCACAGATACGTGTCAAGGTGGGTTTGAATGTCTCCAGAGAAGGAGACTCCACCACCTCCCTGGGCAGCCCCTTCCAGGGCTCTGCCACCCTCAAAGTGACGAAGTTCCTCCTCATGTTGAGGTGGAACTTCTAACAGTTTCTTCTTTCCCTCCAGTTCCCTTCCTCCCTTTTCCATCTGAGGTAGGAAAAACCCTGGCCCCACCTGAGGGAGCGTCTGCGACTGGTGTTTGTGGTAACTCTTGTCCTTGGTTCAGCTCTGGTGGGTGCTCTGGTGGGTTCTGAGGAGCTGTGGAAGGTTTCAGGGGTGTCGCTGGAGCTGCAGGTTGAGTTGGGGGCTGTGCGAGGTCATCGGGCGGAGGAACTGGAAACACCATGGGCTTGGAGGAGTTTGATTCTTTATTTATAAGCAGCACATGGATAGGTCCTGAACTACTTTTAAGATTGATCTGGTATTTCTTCTGTCCATTCTGTCCCTGTAAAGGTTGGTACAGTATAAAAACTACCGTTCCTTCAGGACTTGGAACTTTACAAAATGCAACAGTAACTGCAGAGAGTTATTTCCCCAAAAGTAATGAAGGTGTTTGAACAGAATTCTCAAACTGATGCAGAGGATAAATACAGTGCTCTTGTAGTTAGATCACTAGGAAGAGCTGAGAATTGGCATAAAATTATTAAATGATACTCAGGAAACAATATTCAAAACAAATACATGTGATCTAATTGAAAAACAAACAAACAAACAAATAAACCCAACGCAAAGCCAACAACAGATTACAAACCTGTAATGTATTTACCTGACCAGAGCATAGTTCTGGAAGACACAAATATACAATTCTTTGAAGTGCTTAACTAAATCTTGAATTCAAGTTACATAAGACTTATAGCAGCGCTACATCTTACCAATAACAGCAACGATAAATAATGATTTCTCTACATTTAAGTCCCTCCTTTTAAACAGAGCTTCAGAATGATCCTGGTTGGGACTGAGCATCCTAAACCAGCTGAATATCTCACCCAGACTGAGCGAACACAGGACCACAAATTAGTAAAAACAATTTCTTAGCAGATTTGCCAGGCCTTCTTTTAGCAAGTTACTTAAACAACACAGCTAGGACCAGCTTCCCATGAGAAAAGAAGCCTCAGTTGAAGGGGATAAAACAAATCCCCATGTGCTGGGAGGGCTGGCACCCATCTGTGGATCTGCAAAATCATCGTGTTCTCCAGTAAGATCAATAATCAGTGATGGATTTCCTTTTTTTTTTTTTTTTTTAAAAAAAAAAGAATGATATCAGGGAAGTTGTGGCTGCCCCATCCCTGGAGGGGTTCAAGGCCAGGCTGGATGGGACATTGAGCAACCTGGTCTGGTAGGAGGTGTCCCTGCCCAGGGCAGGGGGGTTGGAACTTGATGATCTTTGAGGTCCCTTCCAACCCAAACCATTCTATGATTCTATGAAGGGAACCAAACCTAAAACATCCAATTTGACTTTAGCAATGAAGATTAAGATCAGGTGTTTTAGGCTTTGCCAAAAAGCCAGAAAGACCCCAACATCAGAGGTGCTAACTCTGGTCCCACGGAGGACCTTACCATTGCCTGAACTGGTTTCAGCAGAGGTGGCCAAAGAGCATCCCTGGGGTCGGCTTCATGGTTTTAGCTTTGGATGCTCCCGTGATGTCAGACTGTGCTCAGCCTCACTAAAAATAGCTTGTGAGACTTCTCAGGTGCATTTCACCCTTCTACAAGCACAGTGGCTATCATGCTTCATACAATACTCTCTCCCAACTAAATAAGCCCTAATTAAAACAGAGGACTGCAACAACAACAACAAATTAGGTAAGTAATGTGGCCTTCTACTGTAATCCTGCCTGTTTAAGCCTTCTGGCTAAAGCAAGACAGCAGTTTGGGTTTCTCTACCCACTCTAGTACCATGGTATTGAATATAAACTAAATCTGAACTAACCCTACAATGAAACCAAGAAGGCTTTTTCATATGAGATCTCATCTACCAATACAATAGAGAAAAATTTAGCACACAGAAGTAGCCGTTGACAAGTTCTAAAGGGAATTCATGACAATTATGCTTAATTTGGAAAGCTGCAACATTTAATAGCAAGAAAGAAGAAGAGAGGGCAAAGAAACCCAATATATCTTGTTTTTAATAGAAGACATGGTTACCATATCCAGGTATCCAAATATACTTTTTCCCACCCGTCCCTTTCATTCTCAACTGCCAGCATCCCAATTTTTAAATTTTTTTCCCCACTCATGCACAACTAGAGAGAAATCCTCTGCTCTGATGCAGCTCATCTGTTCCACTGTCCCTCTAGAACACTTAGTTAAACAAGAAACCAGTACATACCATTTCGGGTATAGGTACTTCTAACTGTGTACCACAAGGTGCTTGAATTGCTAGAAGTGTGTCCCCTGGTTAAACAGCAATTTTTGAGAAAGTGTTAAGTGTGCATATTTTTCTGAAGTCTTGCATGGTATCCACTCAGATGAGATGTGGTGATTCTCTAAGGCCACTTAAAATATTATGGAATTCTAGCATAAATAATGCGGCAGTACTTGCCTAGTCCTTGTAAAATCCAAGTATATCACATCACACAAATCACACAATTCCAATACTTACACCATAGTTGCAAGAACCTTTTCTTGTAGCAATGCAATATTTACCACTTCATTCACCTGTTTGTTACCCTCCTCCAGATCTTCTACTTGTATACGTAACATGAGATTCCAAAGTATTTTTTAAACTAGTTTCTTTTTCAGCTAAAACAGCTCTCTGGTCCAGCTCACCTTTAAATAGGGTGGTAGAATGGAGAGATTTAACAGGGGAAGGAAGAAAAGGTCTTCACAACCATCTTCAGTGCCAGCACTTGCCAGTGTCTAAGCTCACAGCTCCTGCAGCACGTACAGCTGGGATGTAACACCAACTATCAAACCCACCTGATGGATTATGCACACTAAGATGTATTGGGTAAAGTCAGGAGATGACAATTACATCAACAGCACCTGCACATCATTCCCCCTTTGTCTGTAACTTGGAATAATGTTTTCCTTTCTCTGCCTCCCAAGAGACACTTACACAAAGTACTATGTGACTGGCACACTAGGTGCCTCCACGTTTTGTAATGACTTTCTTTAGTAATAGCTCATTCTTGCTAAACTCTGCAGTAGCTGTCTAATTTTGCACTTTTATTCCAAACCAAACACAAGCTTCCTTTGTGCCAAAGAAAGGATGTTTTTGAGCCACGGGCTGAACAACAATCTTTCCGTGGGTGCCCCAGGATCAGGAAAGAATGTCAAGGGAATTAATTCTTGGCAATTTCTTCAAACCTCCTGTTCAGAAGGAATCCTTTTGATTTAGTACCAACGGCCCATCTTTGAACTTCAGCCGGGCTTATTTATATAGCACCATCAGGAGCTCCCTCTGGCTGCAGCTGCCACCAGAAGGTTTTAGGAAATCTGGACCTGCTGGGCCTTTCTGCTGGGTTGGACCAACGTTCCCCTATCCCTGGTTCTGTTAACAGCCTGAGGAAACTTGCTGCTAAGCATGGATACAGAAGGAGACATCCAAAACCAGTACTGAGCTTCTGTTCTGTACAATCTGTGACTACGACTAGAAAATGCCAGAACTTGCTTGTCATGAACTTCATCAGAGACATCTACTTACTCCTGATCACTGCTGGATACTTCTAAATTCAAAATACTCACAGGGAAAAAGCACGGTTAGTTAGCAAGTTAAGTTTTCAAGAGGAAGATCAGGAAATTCCTCACTTGAAGAAATACAGCCTCGCAGGAACTTACCGTTGAAGCAGCTGCAGATATCTTCATGGGTGACATATGAAAATGTAATTTATGTCAAGGAACATTTTTTTCTTAAAGCAACATGAAACTGGTATTTGTTGCCCTTTAAAAGAGGTTTCTCCAAACTGATCCTAAACTATAGACTTACTGCTGTTACTCAGAGGTGTAATCAAGGCATGATTTTTGGCTTTCAGAATGGCCAGTTAAAAATAGCGGAGTTCTGTCTTTTAAAGAACAAAAAATATCTATTTCTGTGAAGAAAATACAAAAAGAAAAAAGTTGCACAGCTTGAATGGTATTATTCTAAAAAGGGAGAACATGTAAAATCTTGTTTTGAAGAATACCATTTACCTCACTAACTTGACACCACAGAATTCCAAGATGTTATCAGAACTTCCCAGAGTCCCACAAAAATACTGCCAGAGGGGACTTGAGAGTTCATCTGCCATCCCCTTCCCCTGCCTCAGGGCAGGATCAACTGGTAAGGCCTTCCAGACAGAGGTTTGCTTCCCCTCTTTTGGAAAACCTCCAGTGAAGGATATTCCACCACCTCCCTGGGGCATCAATCCCAGTGCTAGCTCTCCCAAAGGAACGTTTCTCCTCATGTCCTTTCTGTGAGATCCATTTTATGGGGAGTTTCTCTAAAGCAACAGCAAGCAGTTTTTATCTACTTATCCCTGGTACTATAGATAAGAAGGGGACTTTTCTGCCCTGAATCTCAGATGTCTATTTTGCTCAACATCTTAAACACAGGGTTACAAGTGGTGCAGCAGGAACTCTCTGCTCACACAGTATTTACACGCAGGGTATTATTCCAGTTCCAAACCCAACAAGCTTCAGGACAGCATCAACTCAATTTATTCTCTGGGTGACAGCTAAGTTTTTTCAAGAGAAGGAGGCAACACAAAAAAAAAAAAAAAAGATTCATGTAAAGTACTGCCAAGAAAGTATAGATTTAAGTGCTGTAAAGCAAAACAATTAATTTAAAATAAGACATCAGGATTATACCATGGACTTGAAAATTACTGCCATATATATATGTCAAATTATTTTCAGATTAACAATCATACGGTCACAGAGGTTAAAAAGTAATGTAAATAAGATCTATATTTTCTTTCTTTTTGAACCAAAAATAGATAACAGTATTTGCCTTTCCTTGCTTTAGGTTATGCTTTACCCATTACCTAAACTTTAAGGGTTGCTTTAATCCTAGTTCCAAGATGTACACGGTTCATTTCAAAGGATATTGGTGGTTTGTGGAATCATCCATTACATTCTTGATGCTTTGCTGAAGCCACAGTTTCTGCTGATCCAGTTCCTTTTCTTTTAGCTCTAGATCTTCAATTTCAGCTTCCAGATACCTCAGCCTGTCTATGACTTCTTTTGTATTGCAGCCAGCACCTACTCCTCTTAAAAAGGCATAAGCATTCATGAAACCACAAGAAGTGGAGATCTGACACACACACAAAGATCATTTCTTAAGACTATTCTCGACATTTTTTAAATCTACCTATATTTAATATGAAGGAAATAAGTGTTTACCTTCCCAGCAGTGTTTAACAGAAAAATGAAAATTCTTAAACTCAAATCAAATTGAAAATTTCCCTTCACCTATTTTCATTTGGAAGGTAGCTTTTTCTGCGTTGGAGCTGCTTTGCAGGTCCTTTCTCCTTCCCCTCTAACGCTCAGCTTGAGCTTTTACCTTCAGCAACCCAAGAGAAAATAGGCATAGACTTCTGGAAGGTAGGTGGGTGGAGACACCATGTCCCAATACCCTTCCCAGATTCATCTAGAGTAAATTTTTCAAGTACAAGTGCTAATTATATACAAGTGCTTAATATATAGCAGTGTTAGATATCTGTGTTTCTCTCCTGTATGCTTTAACCTTGATTTTATGTATCAAAGATGCAAGTTAAAGGGAAGACAGATTAAGTTCATTTGCAACTTCACTGTGATTCTAAAATGTCACGTTGCTCATTGATAAGCACAAAATTACAGTGTCATATCTAGTCAGGAGAAGTGGAAAGAGGCAATTTTTGTTGCTTTCAAGCACATAAAAATTTGCAGAACTGACAAGGCTTACTTCCACTGAATGCTGTTTTTTGACTTCTTCTCAATGAGATCAATTCCCTCCAAAACGTTGGTGATATCATAGATCCTTCTCTTCTGCCTCACAGCAAGGGTATCAGCAGCCTGTCAAGAGAATAACAAGGAGTATCACTGAATGATATAGGGTTGGAAGGGACCTCTGGAGATCATCTAGTCCAACCCCCTGCCAAAGTAGGTCCGCCCAGAGCAGTTCACAGAATCACAGAATTGTAGTGGTTGGAAGGGACCTCAGAGATCATCGAGTCCAACCACAAAAAAAAAAAACACAACAAACCAGCTCCCACCACCTAAACACACAACAACAACCTCCAAACCAAAAAACCATCACCCACCCACACAGCACCCCACCACAAACCAGTAATCTTGGGCACTAGAGCATGCCCTGAAGAACCATGTCTACACGTTTCTTAAATACCTCCAGGGATGGTGACTCCACCACCTCCCTGGGCAGCCCATTCCAATGCTGGATAACCCTTTCAGTAAAGAAATGTTTCCTAATATCCAACCTGAACTTCCCCTGGCGTAACTTGGAGACATTACCCCTTGTCCTATCATCTGTAACTTGGGAGAAGAGACCAACCCCCGTCTCTCTACAGCCTCCTTTCAGGTACTTGTACAGAGCAATAAGGTCTCCCCTCAGTCTCCTCTTCCCCAGACTGAACAACCCCAGTTCCCTCAGCCTCTCCTCATAAGTCTTACTCTCCAGACCCCTCACCAGCTTCGCATAGGAACACGTCCAGGTGGGGTTTGAATGTCTCCAGAGAAGGAGACTTCACCACCTCCCTGGGCAGCTTCTTCCAGGGCTCTGCCACCCTCAAAGTGAAGGAGTTCCTCCTCATGTTTAGGTGGAACTTCTTATACTCAAGTTTGTGCCCATTTCCTCTTGTCCTGTCCTTGGGCACCACTGAAAAAAGACCAGCCCTGTCCTTTTGACACCCTCCCTTTCAGTATTTCTAAGCATTGATAAGGTCTCCCCTCAGCCTTCTCTTCTCCAGACTAAACAGACCCGAGTCCCTCAGCCTCTCCTCGTAAGGGAGATGCTCCAGGCCCCTCATCATCTTTGTGGTCCTCTGCTGTCCCCTCTCCAGCAGTTCCCTGTCCCTGAACTGGGGAGCCCAGAACTGGACACAGCATCAGCAACTTGCATGCAAAAGACGGTTAAAGCCGTTCCCTTGGGAAAATGCCAAATAATGTCACGTTGAAGGGAGAGGGTTCAGCTCTTCAAGAGCCAGAAGCTCCATCGTGAATTCAGAAGTTCAGCACCCGCACGGCGCGTGCTGAGAGAAGTCACCTCTTGGAGGGCCAGCAGGCCTACCCTCCTTGGAGAGGAGAATTCAGAGGTGTTGAAAAGACCGCGTTCAGTATATGGAGCATCTGCTACGGAACTGCAACGGAGGAGCTTGCAATGCTCTTTTTGGAAGGCAGGAAAGGGGAGGGAAGGCAGACAGTCTGCTTCGGGCTGCAATTCACACCACAGCGACTGTTATGGACCTGATGCAAAGATTTAAGATATAATAAATTGGGTTGCATAGGAAAGAGTGTAGCCAGCAGGTCAAGGGAAGTCATTCTCCCCCTCTACTCTGCACTGGTGAGGCCACAACTGGAGTACTGTGTCCAGTTCTGGGCTCCCCAGTTCAAGAGGGACAGGGAACTACTGGAAAGAGTCCAGTGAAGGGCAACGAAGATGATTCAAAGATTGGAGCATCTCCCTGATGAGGAGAGACTGAGAGAGCTGGGACTCTTTAGTCTGGAGAAGAGAAGGCTGAGGGGAGACCTTATCAATGCCTACAAGTATCTCAAGGGAGGGTTGAAGGAGGAGAGAGACAGACTCTTTTCAGCGGTTCCCAGTGAGAGGACGAGGGGCAATGGGCACAAGTTGGAACATAAGAGGTTCCACTCAAATATGAGGAGAAACTTCTTCACGGTGAGGGTGACAGAGCCCTGGAACAGGCTGCCCAGGGAGGTCATGGAGTCCCCTTCCTTGGAGATTTTCAAGACCCGCCTGGATGCTCCTGAGTAACATGCTCTAGCTCTGGGCAATCCTGCTTCAGCAGGGGAGTTGGACTGGATGATCTCTATGGTCCCTTCCAACTCTGAAATTCAGTGAAATAAGCAAAGTTGAGCTAGTCGTGCCCTCCACAGCCTCATCTCTTCGATGACGTAAAGCGGCTCAAGTTCAAAGAACAGTCACAGAAAGGAGAGGAAGCCAAGGGGAGTCTGACTCTGTAACTACTCAGGACACTCAGACACAAAGACTACAAGGAATTATATGGATTCAACAGATTAAAATAAAAGAGAAGAAAAATCAAGAGAGGGATAACAGGCAAAGGCTTCTGCATCCCAAATTTGAACTAATGCGTAAAGGCAAATAATTTCCCCTATAGCTACTTAGTGATTTATTTCAGTTTGCCCAACAATCTATTAAATGAATGCTTTTAGTAAAGTAGCCTACATGAAGAGTACAACCTGAGACAACCACAAGCAGGAAGGAAAACCAAATCCATTTTTTAGTAAAGTTCACAGAACTCCTTTTACAGTAATTTCTGAGCCATAAACAAACTCACTAATCTCCCAAAGAAACAAGACTTTCTTACTAAAAAGTTAATTACTAAGGCTTAGTAGCCCAATTCATGCTGGTGAATGTTTTGCTAGTGAAGCAAAATCTAGAAGTGGCAAAATTGATGCCGCCTGCACAATGTTTAATCAACACCCTGTGTATCTCACTGTCTCCAGAGGCACAATTCCTACAAGCTCCCTACATCACTCAGTCCAAGGAAGGGACAGCACACACCTAAATCAGCTGCTATTCTGATTAATTACTTTCTGCTTTTTTCCCCATTGCTCAACACATGGACCTAGGACCTTTGTCTACCACTCATGGTTTGAACGATGAAGAAACTGCTCTGGGGACAGTTTTCATTACGTCATGAGATTTTCCAAAATGCCCATCTCTGCAATATATAAATGCTTAACGTATTTTCAAACAAAAGTTTAAGACTTAAAAAAAAAAAAAAGCCATTAATTTTGAGTGCCCAACTCCAGATGTTTTAAAGTTGGAGTGGTCTCAGTACTCTTGTGTTGCATTTCATACATCCAAAGCAGAGCTCCCATTAACACCAGCAGTGGAGATTCACTACTGATACAAAACAGGCTCCAGAACCCCAGGCTAGGGACTGAGGAGAAAATGAAGGATGCAGTTACTTATATATTTGAATTATATACACTGCTAGTCGAGCCAATCACAGCTACAAAGTCCAATTACTTACAACAAGAATTCCGACAATGAAATCAAACTGGGCCCAGTCTGCAAAGTTTAATCCAGACATTCACTAACTTTCTGCTGCTGGTCTTGTTACCTAATTATCTTCTCAACATTTGATGGGGTGTTTCACAGGTATTTCAAAAACCAGTTGAAAAGTTCCTCCCCAACACTCCAGCAGCTACCAATGTTAACACCTTCTGGTAGGCACACGGCTCAGAAATTAAGTTCAGGCATTCAGTTCCTCCACACAAACCGTGCACTAATGACTTCAGTAATTAAAAGAGCCTCCTGAGATTTCTAAACAAGTCTCCTGTTGTCAAAAACACTTTTAAAATTCATAACTTCTCAGCCTATGTCAAACGGTTGAAGCAGACCCAGGCAGCATAAGAAAGGGACATCGACCACAACAGCCCTGTTAAGATGTTTGGATGTAACTTCCACGTTTCCTCCTCTGAATCATTTGGAGTTCCTTCATAAAATTTTTCCTGTAAAGCTGCTGCACTCCAGTCATATGTATGTATCCAGACAAGCGTTCTACGAGCGTCTCATAGACAGGTTCTTCACTGGAAGAACAGCACAGTTTCAGCTGCAGGCATACACACATACACAAAACCCTGCCCAGAAATAAAAATAATAATTAAAAAAGAAAAACAAACCCCAACCAGAAAAAGGATAATCAAGAATTTGGGTGCACTCTCCTACAACTTCTTGGCTCCCGGGGAGCTGACAAAAGGCAGTGGGAATTATCAGCTGCACGTTCCCTGCGGTAGCACCTAAGAGCAGAGGAATTTGCTAGAGTTACAGTGGCACAGTCATTAGTCAAAAGCTTAACGAAGCAGAAGGGCCAGCAACACCTGCTTGCTCTCTGTGTGTCAAAGGAAAGAGGTCCTGCATCTTCCATCCTGTCCCCATAGCAGGTAACAAGTTCTCCTCAGAAGGACTGTGAACACCTTGGTGGGAGTTCTGAACTGAACAGCGTGCTTGGCAACCTCTACATAAAAGTACTAAATACTGTTGCACACATAAAGGTCAAGGGAATCTAAAATTTAATAGATAGGCTTGTTCTTCTGTGGAATAGGGCAGATGTAAGGTAGGGTTTTTTTTTTTCACTCCTGATCAATACATTTCTAAAGGTAGCAGCAGACAAGCAGTTTTTAGAGCACCTGCTGTTTTCCACCGAGGATCAGAAACATCCCTTATCCACTCATCTTCCTCTTTTTCTCTCTTCCCTGCAATTCATGAGTTGCTGCATATAGGAGCAGCCTTGTTTTCTTTCCCTTCCACCTCATCTCTAGATGTTTTAAGCTTATTTCTCTAACTAGATTTGTTTATTCAAACAAGTAAACAGTGACAGGGTTATTCAGTGACAAGTTGTACGATTATTGGAGAACAGCTGTTTGATTTTAAAGTAAGGACTGCAGAATTCAAATCCCAAGTAAAGAAAATCCTCACTTCCATTCCCACAAGTCGTTGGATGTTAGCAAAGTGTCCTGCAGGAAAATATTTCCAAAACCAGTTCAGCATACAGAGCTCACAAGGCTCCTTGCTCCTAAAGTGCCCACACGTAGGAGAGTGCATCACTACTGCTTCGTGATGGGTCAGCACACACATCCCAAAGCATCCTCTTACAGGCTGCTTAACTACAATTACAGGTGTGTCAAAAAAAATGATGAGGTGTCCTATAGAAAAGCTCTTCACCCTCAAGTGCTAAATGACAAAGCCAGAAGTACACTTAGCGTCTCCAAATTGTATTTTCCTTGTAGAGCACTGCTTGGTTTTGCTGCAGAAATGGGGATCAGCAGCACGACGGTCAGCACCTGCCAGCAGGGAGACATCTCAAGATGTTCACCACATGAATCA